AGCCACAAGTGATTGCTTGCCTTTTTTAAAAAATAAAACAATGGGAAACTCCTGGACTGATTACTTTGTTGCAATGAAACGATGAAATTTCCCGCCTAACTTCTGTTACTGGTAGAGAAACGGTGTCGAAGTTTCAGTTATGTTAGTATATTTCTTCCGTAGATTGAGTTGATGAAAGCCAGTTGAACGGTTTTTCAGTCTTCACTCCATCGTTCAAGAGGACATTTCTGAGAACCAACTGAAGATCTTCGTAGGTAGTTTTGCTAACATCTGTCATGTTCAGACCATTTGGTTGTATTAGGCGAAGTGGTAGGCATCTATCGCAAAAGCTTTTACCATTCCCTTGGTTCCGCATCCACCAGAGCTCTCTGTTCCTGACGATGGATGTGGTGACTACGAACTGAGCGAGAGGTAATGCAGTTTCGGAAAGCTGGAATATCTAGTACTACTGATTAATCCGTTACATTGTGAACCAGAGAATCCACATTTTGCTACTTGCAGTTACTTGCAAAGAACTGAGATGGATCAGTTTCACCAGCCAGGTTTACTCATTTGAATCAGCTGCAAATTTAACTCGAGAGAGTGAAGAATGAAGAACTTCTGTGGTTATAAGAATAACTTTTTTCCAAATACCGTCCTATGCTTACTGTTGGCACATCAAGCGACGGTAATAACATTTGCGCATGTAAAGTAGTGTAAAACTTGGTGCGGTTTTCTGTTTTCTGTTTTCAGAGACTGCCGGCATTTGACAGCTATAGCAGTCAATGAGTATCCGATTAACTTCTCAGATTCGCTACCTCTATTCTGATTCCTACTTTTGCTGACGGAGGAATGCATCTTCTCCTTACCTCATAAATCAAGACGACAGAGCAATCGTACAGGACTGCTTTCCTCGTTGTGAAATCCTCAAGTTAAAATGTTACGACCGAATCGTTCGAAAGATTGAGCGCAATGTGGCGCACAATATGGAATTTTTTTATCATAATGCCAAAACGGCGTAGTGGAATAGGTTTTTGTAATCCGACGTTTCGGTTGATCTTTCGCAAGGGTTTCTACAGTCTACAGCACATATTAGCAGGCATAGTAACCAGATGTCAGGCAGGGATCTCAACAATGACGCGTCACAGTCATCACGACAACAAACGGAAGCACGCTCTAGTCAGAGTGCACTCACAATCACAGTACGCACGCGAACCTGCGCACACGGACCTACGCACGCGGACCTGCGCACACGGTCCTACGCACGCGGAACTGCGCACGCGGATCTACGCACACGGGCCTCATTTGACTGCCAACTGATCACAGGGACACACCAATCAGAAGAAAGGGTAGTGAACCCAAATGTCACTGCATTTGACCCGTATACAATTGATTGTAGAAATCCTTGGGAGAGGTCGCCCACCGCAACCGAAACGTCGAATTTCAACAACCTGTTCCACTATGCTATTTTTGACTTTATAAAATACTTCCATATGCTACAACCATGTTGCAAATCGAGGGCAATTGAATTGCGAAAGTAGTCTGAAGTGCCAGCTAGCGCTAACCAAGTCATACGATGAGAGTAGTTCAAATTGACAGAAAGACAAAAAAGCATCATGAACTTCAAGCTGAAATTTAAAACTATTAGAACCCAAGAATAACAGGCACCAAACAACGATTCATCAAAACAACAGTCAAATAGATTTCCAGTTTGATGGGACTGTCACAGACCATATCGTTTTTTGCCATATAGCGATTTAGTCTGTAGCATAGAGCGGTAACTCACGTGGTTTAACTGAATGCAGGAGAAAGCTAGCGCCATGTGCCTTCAATACATTACGAGAAGAATCTGAACCACCGTTCGACTTCGGTGCCTTTCTAATGGGTAGAAATATGAAACCCGAACCATAGTCACCATAGTCACAGCTTATCTGCGTCAGCAAGTTGTTCACACAAGAGCTCAACAGGACTTTGAAACGTACATCTGCTGCCAGTCGCCAGCTGCCCTGTCAGCAGGTAACATCTTCAATATCCAGTGCTCACAGAACAGCCCGATATGCTTTTAACACAGTGCCCACATCTTTGTGGCTCGCTGGGCCAGGCGGAACACAAAGCATTTGTCTGATGGGCTGTTCGAAGAGGATCGATCTTAACTGGCGCGGATCGGGCAGTGAACAATCAGCTCTGTTCGAGCTCAGCTGATAGGTAAGGGGCATCAAGTAGGCACTTCCGCCACAGTCTAAAACCACGAAGGCTGGCAAACTATATTTGAAAATGTTGCTGATAGCTTTACCCTTGCCTAGCCAGGACCATCAAACAAGCCCGATGCAAATGAACAATCTTAGCGACCCACACTGAACACATGGTTCTGCTTTATAGCCATTCAATCTATCTATTGTTTTTGGACGCATTGCATTTAGCGGCTATCTGTATGTCGATTTCAGTTCACGCCTGTGCATGATCAGATACTACAGATGAGTGCTTCACCTAAATGTATTTGTGAAGCCAAAAATATTCGGGTTCAGACGGACTAATAACAAGCGTAAAACGTTGTTCCATATCAACATAGGTGCTCTAATCACCGTATGAAGATAGACGATTTTCGCCGTTTAGGAAAGTCAGAAGGGAATAGCTTACTCTCTCCAGAGAAGAATGTATTTTCAGATCTTTCATTTACTTACTTGCTGAGGTGTTTTGCGTTTTCGGATAACCCACTTATTTTGCCACTATGAACTGATCTTCTGCTAAACAGCCTATTGTCTGGATGAATCACCACCTGGCTAGATCACAAGTTCACTTTACAGAGCTGGTAACGCGGGCAAACTAAACCAGATTTTGGATTCTAGCCCAGCTGAGTGTGACCTACAGAATGGAAGTTCTCAGGTGACAGATTTTGCGTTTTCGAACAGGCTGACATTCGATCACATGTTAGAATCGTTGCCACATTAATATTAGCACTAGTAGCACAAACGGTATCGTTACCTAAATCAGAACTTCCCAAAACTTCTTACGACAAGCATCGGGCACTCCTTTCGACAAAAATCTAAAGTGCTGTTTAACAAATTTTGTATTCCTTCGACATGCCCACAAAATGTGTATCATCTTTGTTTATTTTCATGAAAAGTGGCAGAAGTTTGTCGTTTTGCCTGGGGGTTACAGGTTACATGGTGCTAAGCAAGCCACCTGTCTCGTTCACGTTGCTTAGATGAAAAGAGGGAGTTATGGTTCATATGTTATCGTTCAGGCTCAGCTCATCCGAAAACAAAGTTGGTGCTAATAATTTGTGTAAACCTACTGGCCTTATCAACCTGGCACGGCATACCATGCGAGCATGCTGAGAGCGACTCTGCAGCTCACTTGGGCTACCGGATGAGGGCAACGCAACCATGCCAACAATATGCGAATTCAGACGCAGGCAAGTCAAGTGACTGTTCACGTTGGAACGCAAACATGACACATAATTTGGCGTACGCTCCGGCTTGTGAACACTGGTTTTCGGTTGACAAGCCCTACGCTTCGGCAGGACATGAGCAGGTCAGCGCAAGCTCCCAAACTCAGGACATCAACTGGCTGCTACGGCCGAATTGTTTGGGCTTCGCTTGAGTTGGGGATAAGTACCGCCTGTCAATTGTCGCAACCCCGGAGATGGATGAGCTGAGAGACACCATGATTCACCACTTCGCCCCTGTCCATTAACTGTGCCTTCTCAGGGCCGTCACGCTTGTGTTAAAAACGTCAGGCAAGCGGACAAAATCATGCGGCATAGAGCAGAACGAGGTAGGTGGTCTGCAGCTGTCTATGCCCCCGAGTAACCGACACTAGACTGGACCGGAATTTCCACTGGTATTCAGCCGTCGTTTTTTCATCAATCTATCGGCGCTATGGCAAACTCAGCTCACACCAGCCTGATTGGTTTTTATCCTTGATCTTACCAGACAGATCGTGCCGAAAAGGCCACTTGAAGCACAGGTAAAAGAACACGTCCCTAAGTACATCTTGAATAGTCTAAAACAATTCAAAGCCGCAAAAAGATTATTGCCAGACAGTGAGCTGCGGATGTCGAGACCTAAACCGGCACATTCTGTCTTGACTTCATTTTTCCAACATACCTGGTGCTAGTTCATGTCTGGCGGTGACAAACAAAAGTGCTGATGCTCTTAAACTGCCTGGGCTGAAACCTGCAAACCATTGGTGAGACTTTCGGGCTGGACCGTTTCATGAATGGATTACATGCCAGTTCAGGTTTATTTGACTCTATAGTTGGTATGTTCCCGACAGTATTGACAAAAACGTACTATGGCAGCTTGCACTTGGTACCTGTGACTATCGAACTCCTCGAAATACTTGATCGCATTGCGTAGAATCTTCACTTACGTTGTTAGAGCATAAGGTGCAATTCGCGAATGATCGTACTGTCATACTGTCGTGCGAAGTATGCACGGCAAGCAACAACTCATATGATCTACCGCAGGCACTTGAAAATTCGGGAAATTGGCATTCGAAATTTCGATATATTTGAAAACGACCGAGTGGATGGGAACCCAAGGAATACTCAATTTGCGTAAACGAGGCACCAGGGAAGTTCAGAGGTAGGGACTCGATGCCTGTCTGCGCAACTTAACAGCTGTGCTAACTAGAGTTTCTAAATATTCCAGCTCCGCTTATATTGCTGCTGAGATAATCAATCAATTTGACGTCTTGATTCGGGGGCATAGGTAGCTCTGAATGACATAGGTCTCATGGCACACATGGAAATATATACGAAGCGCACACAAAACTGGCTGTAAATGATACACCAAGTATATTACTTCATGCGCGTTTCCCTCAAGCGGTGAGACCTAGACAGATTTAGTTTCAAATTCCTGTACTCCCACGCAGTCTATTTTCATACACAAAGGGAAGAGGATGTGCATTTTTTGGCCAGTAAGGGGGGTCAGTTAGCATGCACATATATTTGAAATTAATCCATAGACAATGTACTAAGCAGTAATTTTAGAAGCAAATCAACGGATATTACTCACTGCTGGCTAAATCCAACACCTGAGGCTTCTGACCATTGTGTGTATCATCCACAGAACTGAACGTAGCCTGCTGCTTTTGCAAATCCTCTAGCGCATCGACGAAAAAATCCTCCAATGAATCACTCCGAAAGGCTGGTAGCTCCATCACATGGGCAAACTTTAGTCGTTTTCGCAAGTCTGCCTCTTCGTGTGCACTCACCACGGCACCATCCACATGGGTTTCCTCATCACCACATTGCACTGGTGAAGATGGTGAGAAACAGTGATAGGAATGTGAAGAAAAGAATCAAGCATAAAAAATTGCACAGCGAAAGATTTAGTCTCCTTCACACAGGGTAATAGCCGAGGCGACGAATCAGTTTGCCAGCATGTCTGTAACGATGTTTTATACGAACAACAAGTGATCAATACGAACAGTTTGTGGGTTGTGTTACAACCATCTGTCTGCAGTGAGAGTGGGAAACGGCTTCTTGGTGGGAGTCGCACACAGTGACACCCACTAGGTTGGATACGGTGACTGACCAATGGACAATTGCCTGAACGCACCAGACCACAAATTGCCTTCTTACTGCTAATACGATATACATCATACACACTCACACACAAATGCACATGTGAACGGATCCACGATGTGCGCTGGTGAACAACTATGCAATACTGCAGACAAGCGTACAGGTCGTCCTATACAAGTAGTCAGCGTGGTGCAGCACTACGGTCCGTTCGGGTGCAGCGGTTTAGTTTTTCCATGAGATATCGAAGTGGATCACACAGGAACCGTAGGCTCAATGTACCCTCAGATGAGTTCGAAAGAGTCGAAGAAGTCATGGGCTGTTGCTTCAGTAAAAATGCTGGATGTGTTAGACGAAACTGCCCACTGAGAGTGTTTTTTTATTAATCAACAAATGACTGATAATAAAATGTTGCCCATTTGATCAGCCAGATTGGTGATTATACTGTTCTTACATTGGGCAGAACAGCAGAGGCGAACGCAAACGACACACAAGAAACGTGAACGAATTTAACAAATTGGAGCGTTGCTTGGCTATTGCACTAGCTGAAGAACATGCTTCAGAGGGCGAGTTCAAATACTACCTCCGTACTCCTACCATATCGGGACAGAATTAAATTTAATCAAAAAACGGGTGATGAGTAATAGGGGATAGATCAGTATGCTTCCATATTTTTGGATCCGTGAAGGGGCAGCTTGGAAGGTGTGAGCTTACAGTACGACATTTGTACTCATGCTTCAGAGGGCGAGTTCAAAACAAGAGAAGGCGATGACTTCTGAAGCTTGTTAGGGCTAATCACCTGATATTTGATGCAAATTTGACGCGGCAGTCGGGCTTGTTCGCTACGATGACCTTGCAGGGCACGCTGGCTGGAACCCACTAGGCTCAATCCCACTAGAATAACGGCATATATTACTGGTGCAGTGTGCAAGTAGCCTATGGTTCTGTGTCAAGCCTCCACTTCCGCATCTCATGGTAGGTAAAGATAACTACGGATAACTACGTTCACAATTTCTTGAAGAACGCCCAGAAAAGTTTAAGGGGACGTTTGAGAAAGTTCACTTTTCAGAAACTGTGCAAATAGCTTGTAACCACTTGGTTCATGTTTGCTAAAGAACGACTTCGCGGCGAGCGGCCTTCGTCCTATCAGCACCAGGGCAACGGCCAGACCTGTTACGACAAAGAATTTCTTCGGTGTTGACGACAGCTTAATCACCAGTCTTATTCTGTCAACGTAGTGGATATATTCATTTAAGATCCGCTCTTTGTTGCCAGAGTCGTGGGGATCGAATTGGATGCTGATTCTTTGTGAAGCGACGCCTCCAATAGGAACAGCTGCGTAAAAACTATCTGTGCCTAATGATTTTGTACATCCATAGATGTTCGCATTCTTTACGAGCTTCAGTAAGACAGGTGTGTTTTTAAAGTACAGTGATGTCCAAACTAGCAATCTGCTGTAATCAGGTTCACTCGAAGTTGAACCTCTGATTGAGACCTCTTCGAATAAAATAACACATCATTCTGGGCCAAGCTCGTCCGGCAAGACAAGATAAGATTCCGAGGGATTCTCTGCCCCTCTGCAAACCAGAAGTCCAGAATCCATAAATAATATCAGTTTGACAACTACTGTTTGTAGCAAAGCTGCGAGAATTTAGTTCAAAATCAGTAAACGACACCCTGAATGTCTAAACATATGTAATTACATGAGTACAAGTGGCCACATCATTGCCAAAAGACCATTTAACCTGGCGTTACCAGCGGAGGAAAACGAACTGGTAGTAATTGCAGTTACTGGTATGTCATTGTTGTTACAGTCTAAGCACTACGCTGATATAGTAATGTCACGCACAGCCCTTGTTACCCCACTGGTTCTTCAGAGTTTTGATGAAATTGTTGGCGTTGCAATCAATTGCAACTTACATTACTCACATATATTACTCACAGACAACAGACCTCGAATTAAACTCCACTAATTTCGTACTCTTTAATATTTGTTAATGTAATCGGGAAATAACTCGAAGGGGGTCGATTCCCCCAGTTACTTGCTTCTTCGTTTTTTTTCAACGAGATTTCCATAGGCCTCTCAGGGCATTCCAGAGTATTTGTTTTTTCATCACAAACTCAGCTGAGTTTGGCAGCTGTTTTTATTTATCTCGAGGAAATTAATTTGTTGACAGTTACCACAATGCTCTGTTTGCGAGTTCAGCACATTTTTAGTTGCTAACAAAAGTGGATATGATTTCATTTCACAGTCCTGAACGATTCAAAGCCAACAGTTGCCACTCGTGATACAAGCACGCAAGTGGAGAATTTCGAGAAAAGTTTCGAACCATCGATTGGCAACGATGTCCGATGTCAGCTGTTTAGGACGATCGGGCGATTTTCTGTCATCGATTTCGGTCCGTCTGTTGGCAACTACAGCCAGGCACACCTAAGTCCGTTTGATAGGCTGACATAGCTGTAAATGCGTTGGTCGGTTCATTTGTCGGAAATTTTCATATTTGGACAGGCGACGGGATATTGATTAGATAATTTGGAATCGTACGTCATCGGGACTGCGGTACTAAACACTTTTATGGCAATCACGTGTTCCTCGGGGATTTTTGGGGTGTATTCAGCTGTCAATCTCATGTGACCATTTCATGGCTGGGGCACGCGTAATTTTCATAGTGGTCGTAATAGATTGCACGTTTCGTAGAAATCTTATCTGGGTTACTCTTGTTTGGACAGTCTAACTCCTGTCTAACGTGAGAGGGACACATCAGACTCTCACTCCAATCGGATAGTGTGCCTGCTCCACTCAGCGCTGCACACTCACATCAGTCTCGTTTGGACAGTGATCGTCCTGTGTTGGCGTAATTATTCTGGTGAGTCCACACCAAAAGGGGGAAGCACTTGACTAGACTTCCTCTCGTATTAGAGCTCATCAGCCTTGCATATCCTTGGTCGTTCCTGCGTCTGACCTGCGGACACGTGCATGGGAGGCGAACGTGTTAGCACCACTCAATCAGCGAACACTGGGTGCATCTGAATTTTCACGTCTGATCAGGCGAACATGTTCACGCTTTAGCGATGTGGTTGGTTAGGTCGATGGCTGTCTAAAAAACGGTGCTGTGAGCGTGAATCTTACAAATCCCGCAACATATGACAGACAGTTTGGATGAGGTCAGAACTCGCACCCTGTTCCTTGTGATCCAGTGATCTTCATGATCCACCGATTGTTCACCAAACCTCTCTGAAACGATGACCACCCAATCGGTCCCAAGCATTTTCCAGTTCATGGTCACTTCTTTTACCACCTTCGTGTTCGATCTTATCTTCAGTATATTTTAGAAATACAGTGGTCTCCCCAATAAGCCCTCTAAAGTCCACACCATTCCGGATTCAAGTTGATATCTACAGAGAGGTCATTCCCCAACTCCCGAAGAAGACCACTGTAGGGGTTCCTTGGGTGAGATTTCCTCTCCCAGCAAAGCAAAATTAGTGGTCTGGTTTTTCTCATACCACATTACCAAGTAAGCATACGAACGTTAAAGCTCTTTACAAGAGCACAGTGCTATGTCAAGCGAAGATGTGACTACATAACAGCACTTGTTCGCCCAACGCATTCCAGTAATCCAAGAACCAAGCCAACACCGTTCGCGCCCACGCGAGATGCTGTTTTCCACTAATTTAGACAACACCAATCTGGTGGCGGAATCCGGTCAACCTTGCAACTGATGCTCTCAAAAGACTGCCTCCATCTCTCACCACAGGACATTTCCAATGTCTCCATGAGGCAAAATACCATCTCAAAGGGGATCGATTGGAGATGGCCCTTAAATATATCTTTCTTAAAAGCACATCTTTGTACACTTGTCCCTTCAAGAGAATGGAGCTCTGGGCCATTGAAAGGTGCTTGATGATACCACGGCGAGCATAACTGTTGTAACATGTTAGATGTTTAATACACTTATGTAGACTTAACAGACCTTTAATCAGACTCGGCTTTAGATTTAACCTTTTCACGCGACGCCAACTGAGGATGTTAAAATTGCGGTCGGGCTCAAGTTTGGACCCAAATGGTATTGTCTGGTGCGATTCCAGTCAGGTTTTGTGAGGGGCGAATCTCTAACGGAGTTATACTGGCTTTCACCACGGTTTCGCTGTTCGTGGACAATGAAGGTGGCTTTGTAAAGGGTGTTTGTTATTTGTAGAGTTTTAGAAAGTGCCTGGCAAGGTTACTGTACTGATCGCAGTGTGCGGTAGCATTACTATCAAAATTTGAGGTGCGTATTTTACTATGTGCTGGGACTAACTAGGTCGTTCCCCCTGAGCGTTCTTTGTTCGGGGGTAAGTGTGGGCCTGCAAAAATAGTATTTGTGCCAACTTTGCTCATATCAGGATTTGAAATGAAGAATGAGAGCGAGGCGCAAACAGGACTTTATTCTTAATCATGTGCATCTGCTAATCAAGTCCAGAGATAAGAAGTTTTTGGAAAGTCGGAACCATTGCCTTTCATCTTCGCGACACCATTGGAATTAAAATATACCTGCCGATCCACAACAAAGTGCCAACGGCTGAAAAAGGTAGACTTCATGAACGAGCAGCCGCTTAGGCAACAAATAATCAAAGCTTACAACAGGCCCAGACCTGACCGTAACTAAGGTGCCTTTGTGTAAATCCGCGGGCTGTCCGTTCGGCTTGTCGTGCAGTTGTAGTTGATCTCGAGTCACTGTCAAATTGGACCGA